GCGCACACTTACACTTTGGCGAGAGAAATAAATTGACTTATATATCGGCGAATGACATTACGAATAGCACATAAAACACTTCACAATATACTCGAGTATACTTGCTCCGAAGAGCAAACACGTTTGATGCCAAAAAGACGCATGGAATGAAAAAGAAGAAGCAGCGATCGCTCTTTGGCAGCAGACACACACTCGGAAATTCGACTGGCAAGGACTCGCGTGCGATATTACGCGTCAATATCAAAATAAACAAATGAAAAAAAAGCACGAAAAAACGAATCAAGAGGTTTTACTACGTATGGACGACGTACTCTCTCTCTCTCTCTCTTGCGACGCACGGCGCTCGCATATACCAGAGAGAGATATTATAACATAGCGGCCGCGGAGCGTAGCGCGCGGACAAGTGGAGAAAGGCGACGAACGGTCAGCCATTGGCGGCGAACGAGACACTGACCGGTGCAGGCTTCGGCCGGCGACGAAAGCTGCTGCCTCCTGCTGCACATGCACCGGCGCCCAATATTCTATATACACACAATCGAATATGCGCCGGCGATACGCAGTGCAGTGCACACTGCAGCACAGGCGGATATACGTGTATCGAGGCTACATGTATGTTAGTGCATATACGTATACTGCACTCGGCCAGTTAGGTAGGGGTCACCCGTCGCGCGTTGTTATAACACACTTTCTCTCCTACGTGGGATATATAGTTTTGCCGCTTGGTGCAATATGTATGCGCTCGTGCACCGCTGCACTCTACTGCGCTTTCGTTAACCCCTTCGTTTATGCAGCCCGATCGCACACCCCCTCGACTGTCTCGGCACGCGTGCGTTTTTATTGATTTTTCCGCAGCGTTTTAGGCTACTGCACAAACTGACCCGGAAACTCACAATCAACCGTGCGGATATACGTATGCTAGACATAATTATGCGATTGATCTCTGCGCGCCGCTCGTTATACGACGTACTAAAAATTGCGATACACAACGATTATCTCACAATTTTCAGAGCCTAAAATTCACTATATATAATATCTACATTTCTCGCGCAGAAATGACAACTCCAGTGTAATAGCACCAACAGCTATTGCGCTTACGCAGCTTCACGCGCAATGAATCAGAATCCTGCAGAACGAATATTAATCCTCGAGCTCGCGGCCGCATTGCACGCACGCACAAGTAAACCGTAGAAGAGCTAGCTGAGCACTAATGACCTCATACTCTCTCGAAAGAGCCGCGGCAAATTTTCGTCGCTCGAACATAGGTACAGATCTCTTCCTCTCTCTCTCTCTCTCTCTCTCTTTCTCTCTTACTTTTTCGCCTCTCCCTCTCCACTTTTTTAAAACGGCCCTCGTGCTGCACATACCGATGAATAACAACTAAAAAAATCATACGTGTATTAATGCGGACACGACGACACCTTTGGGTATGTAATGTACGCATCGCACACATACACTGCCAACTCTTCCGTACGTTGGAGAGAGAGAGAGAGAGAGAGAGAGCCAGTATGGGAACAATAGAGCCGAATAAATACAAATAGTATGCGCGCGAGCAAAATATTATGTGCGAGTGAGCATGTGTCTTTTTTTTGCATCTTCCGTATACGCGCACACACATACGGTCATGCACCGCTCGGACCGGTATGTATACAGCTAAAACATGATGAACGAGATACACACATGCACACTTATAGGCACAGGAGAGAGAGAGAGAGAGACAGCTTTCGAGGCTTCCGAGTGAGAGAGAGAGAGAGAGAGAGAGAAAGAGGGAGAAAGAAGAAGAGCTCTTCGCGCTATAATTGGCTTGTGCGCGTTACGGCGCAGTGTATATATAGGTACCCCCGGGGCCCGGCTCGGGGCATTAGCATACGCACCTCGAGATCTCTTTCGTCACGCGCATGCAAATTTTCATATAACGTGCCTACGTGTACGTATACGCATCGACCGATACACGTACTTTATGCGTGCGACGACGCCGCTTGTGTGCTGCAGAGAGCGTGCGAAATACCTGTGTGTGAGAGAGCGAGCGATTATGCGACGCGCCAACGATTCTCCACCCATTATTATTGTTGCCGATATATATTTTTTAATCAAACTGCTACTGTCGATGCTGTATGCAGGCCCAAAAGCCGTATAAAAGAGCAGCAGCAGCAGCAGCAGCTTTCATCTTCACGAGGATCCCGACACCCAATCTATAATAGGATGTTTTGTCAACTGTTTACCTATACGGAATCTCATTAGAAACTTGATACTGATACATCGCTGCAGTCGAATCGCACGCACGCGCATTATACATTTACGATTCTTACCGAACGGGTTTTTAGGCTCAATGCGTTATTGTAGTTTATTGTAGCCCAACAATGTTAGAGGTGTTGCGTGTTTACATAACACGAATTTTGTTTAGCTGTCTGCATATTTTTACTCGTTTTTCCGTATATACCCTCTTTAGCTTCACTACGAAAAATTACCTCAAACGTTACAGTCAAGGTTATGAATTTCAAAAATTCGAGATACAATTGAGTAACACAAAGAGCGCTAATAACAATAATTACAATCCACTAAAGTGTAACGAGAATTATAGAGGCACTGGCCTAAGTGATTCATCGTGATGTAATTGTAAATATGCATAGTCAGAGGGCAGAGCCGAGAGAGAGAGAGAGATTTAAATTTAGGAATGCCCGGGGTGAAACATCGGGGCAGGGAGCTAGAAAGCGAGAGCAAGAGAGAGAGAGAGAGAGAGAAAATACGGAAATTGTCCCGTTGACCCGAAGACCTTTTGCTGGGGCGAGAGGCCGTCCGAGGAAACCGGACCACCCTGTCATTAGTAAACAAAACTTTGTGCGCATATTTTCTCTCTCTTTCTCTCTTCCTCGCAGCGAGCGGTCTGCAGAGGCAGAACCGCGGCGCGGTTATAAGTATGTAATATATAATAACGACTGTCATTATCGCCCTATGCGCGACGCGAAATTTTCGTGCCTCCGAGTAAGTAGGTATGAGTACCTTTTCCGCTTGTCTGTCTATGTGTGTGTGTGTTCCGCTTCTGCGTAATTTACTTGGCCCGTTTAGATTTATGAATGACGAATCCCCGCAACACTTATTCTTTTGTTTCTTCATCGTGTAATACGCTTTTATTAACTATTATTAACTCATGCATGAAAGTTATGACGTTTATGTAAGTGACAAAAATTAGTACGGAATGTTTGGCGGTAATATTGATGATCGTTTCATACAGTTCACGTATCATTGAATATGATATCGACACTCGATCGACAAATTATCGTGTGGTATGCAGAGTTTCTTATATAATTTATGCACCTCTATTATTTGCTTGCAGTGTACGGCATTGACACAGGGATATCCAATACAGCGGGCTGATTACAAATGACGATTCGATCATTCATTCTCCCTCACTTATGTATAGCTTACAACTTTGTCTTTTTAAATCCTGAGCACTCTTGTTTTTTGTGACTATTTTTTTACTGCGAGCATTTTATTACTTTTTTTCTAGGCTCGAAAACTACTACAGCAGAGTAAAATGGACGAAGTCGAAACTCTTTCAATTTTTCCAACTCCCGAATTGAAGCAACAACGTTAATCGGTGTCCATCGGATTGTTTAAAGCGACACGTACAATTTTTTTCATCATCGAAAATTTATTTCTCGAAGTAGTACGCGAGCTCGACGAATTATTCAGAAGTCTCGGCAAGGCATAGATAGAGAATATATACACGAGAGCCGACGGCAGGCAAAAGTACAGCTCTCCTCGCTCTATGGCCCGGAATAATCCCCCGTGTGTGTGTGTGTGTGTGTGTGTGCGTAGTGCGCCGTCTGATATTATACAGAGCGTGTGTGCGTTACGACGAAATTTGCATGAGTAAAAAGTGCGGTTATTGTCGTGCACTGTACATACGCATCGAAACATATAACAAAAAAAGTGCGATCGTAATAGTAAGCGAAAAAAAAGGCTCGCGAATTCGAACTCCTTGCTGCGGAGCTCTCCGCGCGATTCCGGAAACGAGCGAGACCCGCCGCCCGCGACGTTGAGTCCTGGTCAAACGAGTTTTAAATACGCGGTAGAATTCAGAAAAGGAGCTCGGCTACATTTTCTCCTACAATACTCCGTACAAAGACTGGCACACGGCGATCGTCGACAATGCGCGCTCGCGTGTGCGTATGTGGGTAGCCTATACGCCATTCTGCAAAATCCGACGGATGATTGAAGAACAAAGGCGGCGCAAAACTTCTCTTTTCTATAATACATATTTGTGTGCATTTGCAGAAACTCGACGGCCGTGTGCAGATTATAAGCGGAAAGCCGCAGCCGACGCGGAAGTTTCGTTTCAAAGTAAATTAATAAAAAAAAACTGCGTGAGAATAAAGTACTCGAGTGAAAATTCAGAAAACTATGCTCGCGGATGACATCTATTTTTCCATATGGTTGGGCTCAAGATGCGCGATGACTTCGTCGAAGATTCGATGCTCATACGCAGCACAAGAGACGACCTTTGATCGTCTTTTATGCGGCTGTCTCACCGTATTTAAGCGCACGAAGAGTCGCAATTTGCATAAGATCAGTGAGTTGAGCTTCGCAGCTCGAATCGTCTTCGTCGCACCCTTCCTTTTTTCTCTCTCTCTCTCTCTCTGTTTTGCTCGATGTTTTTTTTTCACGCTCTCGGTTGTTGTCCCAGCACACGCAGGGCCTGACGTCTTATTAGCATAATACTACTACCTGGACCCTGCCGCGTACGAAGAGTCCCGAGTTTTCCCACACTTGCGCATCTCAGTCTTGGATCTCGGCGGAGAAGCGCTGTATTTTTTTTCATATGGGGTACACATGATCTCAATGCTGATACTGTTAATTTCAAGGTATTTTTGAAGTTGATTGTTTATCAACTTCTTGATTCAAATTCTTTATTTTATTTAAAAAAATTTTACATTGACAAATTTTCAGGTTTGTTTTTTTTTGTTATAAAAAAACCTGTTACAAAAATCAAGCAGTTTAAAAAATTAACACAGCGTAACAAACATGCAAAAACACACAAATTAAAGAATAATAATTATAAACGCTGTCGAATACACGGAAATGAATCAGCATCAAGCTATACTTCAGCCTAAAACCTCTTCATTGTAAGTCTTGGTAACGTCAACTTCGTGTCCGATTCTTGACTCCAATTCACGAAGAACTCCGTCTTGTATCAGATCGACATCTTCTTCGGGGCAGTACTCGTCGATAGATGATCTGCAAATTTATTAGAAGCACATTTTAATCACATAAAAATTACTACGCTGGATACGCTGCTCTGTTTTTTGCGCGTGAACATTTTTTGATGAACTACTTGAGCAATTTCGGTTAACTTTTTTCTATTTGCGAAGTATTAATTATTATGAACTGACTGTTTTTGCCACATGAAAAAAAACAATCACAAAGTCGGAAAGTTTTCTTCCTAGATTTTTCGGCGGAGCTCGGAGCATGGAAGATCCATGGCACAAAAGTGGGGAGTACAATACACAGACTGGTCGGGAGCAAAAAACCGAAAGAAGAGCAGAGGGGATTAGATAAGGGGAGGAAGATCGTAGGGGTAGCTAAAAAAGGTAGACGAGAGGGGGGAACGTCGAAATCGAAGAAAAAAGAAGGGAGAAAACGGGGTGGTAAGGACACCAACACATTCGGGCGAAGTCGGGGAAAGTTTCGTACGTTGCGTTCTTGAGAGGGGTAAATCGATTCTACTTTCTTTTTTTTATGCCGTACGCTTGTCCCCTTACGAGGATCCACCAACGCCACTGCGTACGAATCATTTGTATGGGAGATGTGCACTATCTTTACGTAAGGTGGCGCCAGTCTTACTTCCATGTCTCGTACTTCAATAGCATTGCACAATGACAATTTGCATTAAAAATATTTTTTTATTAACATGATCTGAAATCGTCACTATCAAGTAATTGATATGATTGAAACATAAGTCAAAAGACTTAATGCATTCTTAGGATATTTAATTAATAATATGACGCATTTTCATTTATGATAGTCTTGATTATTCACGATAGGATAATAAATGAGTTAAATTAAAATATTTATTTTATTAAAGTTCATTATAGCTTTGCATATATCTGTTGAGTGCACGTATAACACGTTAAGAAATATTAGTCTTGGTAAATCAAGTTTTTTTCCATATTGTAAGTAATGCAAAACGTAAAATAATTGTTGTATTAATAAATTGAAAGACGACTAACTTTTGTTTACCAATTTTTCCTCTGTTTAACGAAGGTATATAAAAGAGGCAAATAATTAGATGTCCTTTTAACTCGTAGCGACATCAAACGACAGATCAGTGAACACGTGATAAGAATTTTGGAACACCCTTGGCACAAATGCTTCCCCCCCATGCTTATGTGTGTTCGGGTAGAAAAAAAAGGTGGGGCCTGTTTGTGGCCTGACAAACGCCTACATTACGACACTGTTCCTTAGCCCAGCCCATGATGTGTCGGTCCCCTTCCACGAGCGAATACACCTCTCTATTACAATAGTGTATACGTTTTCTCTCTCGGCCAATGATGCGGCTTTTACAACGCGGTACAGTACATGAGAAAAATTAGAGATACAGTCGTTTGCCGTTTCACATGCGGCAATTCGATGGATTATTTTGGCACGCGATGATTCTATCTTGGGCAGGAATAATGTTGCTTATCGAAAAAAAAATTGTTACCTGGCTACAGTGACGATCGTTGGCAATGCCGGCAGAGCCAACAAAAATGCCCTGAATGCACCTTCGATAAAACGTTCCAAATCAGGTCTAGAAGTTACGTGGTGCGGGAGTTCGGTGTCGTCGATGGTACAACCTGAATTGTGCACCAGCATCCAATCGATCTCTTGATCCTTGTAATGTTTATGCATTTCTTGGTGGAGCTCCTTCACCGCTTCGTACCTGCAAAAAATAGTAAAAAGAAAAAATAATTTACGATGAGCCGTGAATAATATCAGAGATTATTCTATTGCACGAATGCGTCACAAAATATTTTCGTACCGAATAAGCTCTCTTATAGAGCGATTCACCGATACAAAAAAAAACATGAATTTGCACCCATGCATCAGAGGGAGATTCACCTGTGTCGCGTCAACTATATGCAGTATAAGCTACATCTTTACAAAAGAGATACATAAAAGGGTTGGATGCATCGTACGCGCGCTGCTTAATTGAGTGTTGAGAAATTAGAGGGTAGTGAAACACATAGACTATAAGAGAGACAGCGACCACAAAGATGGTGGTGTTGCGCGTCGGTAGTCGGTCGGTCGGTCGGTCCGGTCGGGTCGTGTCGCACTCGCTTGACCCGTTTGAAATGACCATCGGTATAATCAGTTTGCATATACTCATACCCAAACTGGACGTACAGTACGGTACGCTCGTGCGTGGATTAACTGCGCTACATATATTTCTCAGCCCTTTTCCTTTTGGGCGGCTACTGCGAACTTCAGCGCGTGCCAAGCGCAGTATCTTCATAACGAATAATTTGCGCTCGTTGTGTGCGTGCGGTTGGCCACAATGCGAGAGAAGCGGATTAATCATAACTTTGCGTTCGCAGCGAGAGAGAGAGAGAGAATATGGCGATGTATACGAATTTAATTTCGTTTTCAAAGCTGCGGTGTACCTGATTTATGACGGATTAAACGGGTTCTCTATGTAATTGAATAAGAATTAATTATATATCATTTATGGTTATAAAAACAGGCGGACGAATGATATTTGTAGAATTGTGTCGTTTGAAGCGCAAAAAAGATGCAAGATACTCTATGAAAATGAAGGAAGTAATACAAAAAAAGGGCCCGAAGAAACACGAGCGATTTTTTTTGCATGGCACGTCGATAAAGCGCGCGCGTGTCTATGTCCGATACATATCGGAGAAAATAAAACACGAGCACGTATAGAGGGCCAGGTGCGAAAAATAAAGGTAGCACACGAGAGGACTAGAGGGAGTCGACGACGATGACGACGACGACCAAGTGGACAACGCCGCGTCGTGTATTACACGCTGTTGTACGACGAGACCGCTAATGCGATAACTGTTATGATCGGAAGGCGCAGAAAGCAGCTCGCACGTCGCCAGCTCGGCCCTGTATAATATGTATTATAATACCTGCCAGTAGTTTGCAGTTTATAACATTATACATATCCTCGAGGCTTTCCTCGCTGAATATTAATTATTCTCTCGCCGATGGACACCTGTTCTGACACATCTTTATGCGCGCCGGCCATAGCTCGCTATAGCGCATGTGTTACATTTTCTACACCTCGTGGTGTTGCTGATTCTCTTCTTAGATTACAGGCGAGTATATGACCGCTTCTTTCGCGCGCCCGAGAGCCAAATATGCGAATGCGTGTGCGAATGTAACAGATGCCGCAGCTAATTGCATTTTGACTCGATTGTGTCGATGACCCATCGGATTCTTCGAATTCGTTCGGTCGGTCGCTTTTTTACATCTTACAAGATCAATCAGTCGTCGATATACGATTAACTCTTATATAAGATATTCGCGATATATTAACATTTATATCATTCTATTCTATGGGTCTCTGACTCGGAGTCGTCGTGTGCTCCTTGCCGCGTGTTGTTCTTACCGACTCTTTTTCGTACCGTGACTTATATAATAATTTTGATTTTGCTACTTGCAGATTTACAGATTCAAAGGTACTCGCCATCTAGTGGCAAAGGCATAAAGTGGTATTATTGTAATTTAAGTAGCTGATAACTGGTCTAAATTTTTTGAAACTATCAAATAATCATTTGCAGTTTAATAGTATATTTTGTAACAAGTACGCGAAGCAGTTGTTACAAAATATACTATTTCAATACAACTTTATCAGAAATGGTAAACTTTTCAATTTTTATTCTTTGAGCATTATTAAGTCAAGAATTTTTACCAGGGATATTTTCATTTCTGTAGCTACTGATTAAAATTAAATGGAACGGGTCTCATTGCTTCTATTGCACTCTAAGACAATTTTGTCTATAGATAATGTCATTGCTCAATTTTTTGAACAAAATTGTAATTTAAAAAAACGTACGGAAAAGCTTGCAAAGCAATCGCAACAAATATAACGTCAGTTTTTTGCGCACATAGAATTTGTATCATATACAAAACAAAGTCTGCACAACGAGAAAGGAGCCAGTGTGCAGACTCTCGTACACGAGCACATATAGAGAAAGAGAAAAGGAAAGCAAGCCGTGTCGTGGACAATAGTACTGTGTAGCGCATACGCGAAGACAAAAAAAAACAACAGAACGAGAGCAAAAACAAGAGGCAAAAAATATGAAGAGCTCGAGCTGGGCCGCGCTGGGGCGAGTAGTGGTGGGTCCCTCATTATCCAGAACCGTTTTAGGGTATATTTGTCGTTAAGGGGGTCATATGCAAATGATGGTGTACAGCAGCGAGAGAAGAGCAAAGACTCGAGAAAAGCAGCAAAAAATGGCCCCGTTATATATTATTCGCGTATGCTGTATTATGCGCGGCTCGACAACGGTACATAGCCAAGCGGCAGCTTTCTCCGCGATCGCGACGCGCCTCGTGTGTATTATTATACGTATAATGCGAGCACACAAATCGCGATGACGAGGATACGTTATATATAATACTTACAGCCGCGAGTTTCGAGATATATGTACAGACTGCAGGGAGAAAGAAAGAGTATGATGTGTAGCTTCGGGGTTGTGTGTGTGTGTGTGTGTGTGTGCAGGCTGTTGAGTTGCAAGCAGCAGCAACTGCGGAAGATCGAGCCTGTGTGGCGCGTATAAAGTAATCACATGATCAATTATTAAAGTTGAAGCAAAAACAAGAAGGGAGTTGACAGATCCCCGAAAGTGACGGCGCGAGCGAGACGCGGCTGCTATGACCTGCGTGCAGCTTATATCGCATAGTGCACGTATATTTTATTTTATATTATATGTACGACGACGATCGCGACGCGCGTGCGTGCAAGACCTGTATTATAAGATCATAACGTGTGCGCGCGTCTATCGTTCCGTTTTTATCTAGATATTATGTAGCTCGTTCGAGGATCCTATTGGTTCGTCCAGCTGCGTGAGAGTGCTGTACACGGACGTTTTTTCGCTCTCCACTTGGCTGCATATAATGCCCCGCGCCGTGAAAATAATCTTTGACCTGGGATCTGTTAAAACGTCGTGAGCTCGTATACACGTACGATGTGCGAGCTTTCGAGACTCGTGCTGAAAACTTTTTTTAATTGAAATCGTTCGGTTTTTTCTTTCATCAGATGCGAGATTTTCAAAGAAATATCGAATGTCTGAGAAAAAAGAATTCGTTCATAATTTTCATAAAAGTTTTTTAACAATCAATGAAACATGTTTTTATAGATAATTATCAAACCCGTGTTTTTACTTATATAATTAATATAACTTTGCCACTTTCAGAATTACGAATGAAGGTATTCGCCATCTAGTGGTGGAGACTGTATTTAAATTTGATTGAATTTTAATCATTTTTTTAGCAACTACAAAGCAAAAAATAAATCAGTATTATAAAATACATTTTCAATCGATATTTTTGAATTTATGTTAAGTTTTCAATCCTTTGAATTCGACGATTCAAAATATTGTATGTATTTGCATTTTTATCTGTTTTTTGTCACTTATTCACTTCAACTGAAACAGTAGAGTTTTCCATACCTGAAGACATTCTCAGAATTAATAAGAAAATTTTTCAGCGTTGCGTCAATATTGGTCTTTTACGAAAAATTTCGTTAACTAAGCTCCATAAAAAATTTTATGAGTACAGCTTTTTGGGAGGCTAATCGTTGTGGGCTGGTTTACGACAAAGCCGGGCGGTTTTTTGTGAATCTCTGCATGTGTATAATATGTCTGCCGACGAGTGGGCAGATACGCAGCACTTCCGCGATCGCTTTCTCTTTCGTCGACCTAATGAAATTTCGACAGAGCTGTAAAAAATCTTCACCCCGATTATTATTTCCTTCTCTTGCTCAACTAGATCGACATAATTTTTGTGAAAATGGGAGGGTGTACTTATTTCCATGGGCTTTTGCGTCTATGCAAGCACGATTGCGCCGCTTCAAAGGGTGAAAAACTAAAATATTCGTAGTGCCAGCTGCTTCTAAAATTAGTTAGATTTCTAGCCAAGCCTTTTTTGCAATAAAAAATTGAAAAGTCACCCCGATATATAATAAAAAATCGATAAGCTAGCTTCGAACTCCGTATATCGCACCATCTCGCGATAATGAAAACTCGACACGATTCGAACAAAGAACGTTTTGTTCTAAGCGTTTCTGATTCGGCGCTGCCCCGTGTGCTCGAGACGCGCCTCGACGGATTCTTTTTCACGTTGAAATTAGCATTTGGCCCTGCACATTCCCGTGTATTATTATAGCACAAGATGGAATCGCTTGGAGAAGATGTAAAATATATAAAGAATACCCCTGGTTGGCGAGCGCAGTGGCGGGGTAACGCGATATAGCTTTTTCCTCGCGGTTTCAAAAACTATTCAATGGTATGATGTTACGAGAGCCGCGCGCGCGCGCCGAGGGATGGCCCCGAAATATGGCTGATGAAATAACAACTTGGCGCTTGGCGCAGTGAACGGAGCGTTATATATGTATCATACCCACTCGCGTGTACATTACCGCACATCGTATTCAAACTTCGCAAACAATATCTTTCTCACACTCGTCCCGTATTCCCCGGTAGTTTTTTTGATTTAAAAAACTAGTTATGCAAAGCGAAATAATTAAAAATAACACAGAAAGCGCAGTGCGGTGCAATGCTATCTTTTCATTTGTTACGCAGAGTTTTTGTTTCAAATGGATTTCTTGTTTAAACGAAAAAAATGCAAATGACGATGGTACAGTAGCGATAAAATTTATTTAAAATGGAAATATTTTAAAAAGTACGTGCGTCTAAA